GCACCTCATCAGAGTGCTGCGGCTGCTACTGCCACTAACAATGATTGTACAAGTAACCCAGGCATTGTTCCAACCTGTCTGCACATATTAAATCATTTCATCCTCCTAACAACACTCTGAGTAGGAACAATAATCACTACTGTACATTTGAGGAAACTAAGTCTTGCCAGAAGTTACACAGGAGAAGGTGGCAGGGCTGAGATTAGTGCCCCTGTCAGTGCCCGGCTCTCACAGTCAGAGAGCAGCGTAATTGTCACCTCCTTCCCTCTAAATACTCTGCCTCTGTTGATGCCTCACTGAGCACATGGCGACTTCTCCCCAGCTCCGACACACTCTGATGTACATCGAGCTGATGCTCACCTACAGCCACAGACCCTAGGACATGAACTACTGCCAACCAGTTTCTGAAGAACCACTGCTAGTCCGACTTTAGACATTGATTTCCTTAATCTTTCCAACTGGTTTCTGTGGGCACTGGGGCCATTCCATACCCTTTGAGCATTTAGATGCCCAGATCTTTCTGATTATTGGTTTCCTCTCCCTGGGACCCTCACCACCACCACCACCACCATCTTCTCCTGGTGTGAATCACTCCTGTCCCCGCTCTCTCTTAGCTGCCAGCACTGATCTAGCCTCCTGCGCCCACAGCCCCACTTGTCCCTAAGCCAGTTGGTCATGGGTTAGTCATGGCAGCCCTGAGGCTGGGCGCTCCGCTCAGCTGGCATATCTGCAAACACAAGGGCAGCAGCCTCTCGGTCGGACAGACCTGGCGCCGCTGTGCACGAGCTGGCTGTGCAGCCTCAGACAGTCACTTCCTCTCTCTGAGCCTCCAGATCTCTGCCTGCAAAATGGGAATGGCCCCAAACTGCCTCACAGGAGGGCTGAGCAGAAATGAGGTAAAACAGTAATTGCTCACATAATAGATCCTTAACCACTGGCAGCTCATGCTATTGTGAAGACAACAATGGTAAGCCATAATATGCATAACTCGGGCTTTTGTTAAATGATGGCTGAAATCATATGCTCCAAATCACAACATTCTCTAATGAGACACTTTGTGAGGAAATGAAATCAGTGGACCCCCTTGCCTTCAGGGTTACAAAGGTGTGGGTAGGGCATTTGTCCAAAGGATAAGAAAAAAGATTAAAATGACTTAGAGCCCGCTGTCATGGCTCAGTGGCTGAGCATGAACCTATGACCAGGAGGTCATGGTTCGATTCCAGGTCAGGGAACCCTGCCTGAGTTGAGGGCTCCATCACCAGTGTGGAATGTGCAGGGGTCAGCCAGTCAGGGATTCTCCCTCATCATTGATGTTTCTGTCTCTCTCTCCCTCTCTGAAATCAATAAAAATATATTTGAAAAATAAAATAGAAATTATTTAGAAATATTTATATGATGGTTATAACATTTCAAAGTAAAGGGCACTAACCCAGAAGGTGAGTCTCTTCTAGCTCAACATGCACTTTTCTACTTAGCTCACTTTGTGTGGACAGCAACCCCACCCAACTCTGTCCCCCAAATAACAAACAATCAATAACTCTCCTGAGATGGTTGACCTCGATATCATTTACTGTTACCCTACAAATGTCACCCTTAACCTCCCGGCCATGGTACCGACAATATTTCCTCATATGTTTGTTGCAGAAATATTATTTACTCACTAGAACTTGGGTTCTAAAACTCCCCACGCCTGTTAGAAAATGCTTGCTTGGTAACAGTAAGGTGCATACCAGCAGGGGAGGCTGTGGCCCATGAGCTGTGCTCTCAGACTTCCCCTCCAGACACAGGAAGAATAAAGACCCTCAATGCCTCCCTCCAGGCTCTCTGAGAACAACACAGTAACGTTACTAACAGGCTCTATCCTGTAGCTAAATCAAAGCATGTTTCCCCCGAATGAGGAAGCCAGGGTGGAACTCAGACCCTCTGTCCCTCCTGCCCCCAAGGCCTGGGGACCCCTGGACAGAGCGCTCCCTGCCCAGTCCGGGCCCACCCACCAGGCTGCAGCACAGCCTTCTTGGCGATGATGTTGACAGCGGCCACGCAGACAGGTGCCGCGTAGAAGCGGCCTGGCTCCGCTATGACTTCAATGCCGGTCCCCTCGGGGAAGTCCTGGGCCAGGGCAGCATTGATCACTCTCGCCATCTGTGGGGACAGACCCGAGCCCTGTGAGGCCAGTCCCTGTGCGGGGTCTTTCCCTGCGTCTTCTCTCTTCATTCCCCTGACAGCTCTGTGGGAAGGTGTCAGCATCCCCTGTGAAGGGGAGGAAATAGGTAAAGACTGTGACCCAGAGGGGAGAAGTGCCCGAGGGCACAAGCCTAGTGACCAGGCTGTAGCACCATGAGATCTGACTTGGAAACATTGAAATCAATAGGTGATCAGCAAAGGAAAACTGTCCCCTGGGTGTGGGGGATACAGTAAGGAAACCTCTATCTGACTGTAGCCTTACCAGGGGTAGTAACCAACACGTCTATAGAAGGTACAGAACCACATAGGCCCATGCAAACACACACACACACACACACACACACACACACACACACACACACACACATGTGTAAATGCACAGAGGCCACACATGTAGAGTCTGAGACCTCTCAACCAACACAAAGCCCAGCTACATGCAGGCACAGGACTGAGTTTCAAAAGCTCCCTGTACACAAACACACACTCTGTGCAATAAACCCAGGCTGGGGCCCCCAGACGCCCTCTCCTCCTCCTGTCTTACCTCCTCAAACTCCGGCTCAGAGCCCTCAACTCCGGGGAAGCCCCCTCCAATGTCCAGGATGCTCATGTCATGCCCGACCCCACGGCCCATCTCGAACACCCGCCGGCTGTCAGCGATGGCCTGTGCGAAGCTGTGGGGATTCTGGCAGCCCGAGCCCACGTGGAAGCTGAGCACAGGTGCGGTGACAGGTGCAGAAACACACGAGGAAACGCAAGGGTCAGCAGGAGGAGGTACACATTCAGAAACAGCCACACAGGCACAATGTGAACCAGCGTGGACACAGACACGGGGACACATGCGACTACATGGAGCTCGTGGGCACCCACAGGAAGCACAGCCTTGGCTGTGCACATGGGGACCCCAGAGACACACACCACATGACACTCTGTGAGTTGGGGCTCTCGTGGTTATTGGGCAGTCACCTCTCTTAGCTACCCCTCGCAAAGCCTCGCGGCAGTGACTCCTCTACTTTTCCTCCTTGGAATGCATGTGATCCGAACCCCAAATCTCAAACCATCCGCCAGGGGGTGCAGAGGACCCATTCAGGGGCAGGTGGGGTGAGGTGAGGGAGGACGCTCCTCAGGTACAACATTCAAGGGGGCACCAAAGCTCTGAGCAATCAACATAGTAACCTTCATGCACTATCCTATATAAGAAAGAGGTAATATGAAAATTGACTATCACACCCTCGCACAAGATGGCCCCCCCCATGTGGTCACAAGATGGCCACCACAAGAGGCCGGCAGGGGAGGGCAGTTGTGGTTGATCAGGCCGGCAGGGGAGGGCAGTTGTGGGTGATCAGTCTGGCAGGGGAGTGCAGTTGGGGAGACCGGGCCAGCAGGGGAGGGCAGTTGGGGGCGACCAGGTCAGCAGGGAAGAGCAATTGGGGGCAACCACACTGGCAGGGGAGTGTAGATGGGGGACACCGGGCTGGCAGGGGAGGGCAGTTGGGGGCGATTGGGCCAGCAGGGGAGTAGTTAGGCATCAATCAGGCAGGCTGGCGAGCGGTTGGGAGCCAGAAGTTACGGATTGTGAGAGGGATGTCTGACTGCCAGTTTAGGCCTGATCCCACAGGCAGTCAGACATCCCCCGAGGGGTCCCAGATTGGAGAGGGTGCAGATTGTGCTGAGGGACACACCCGCTACTGCACAAATTTTGTGCACCGGGACTCTCGTCTGTATATATTATAGAGAGAGGAAGAGCGAGTGAGAGAGAGAGAGAGAGAGAGAGAGACCTCAATTGGTTGCCTCCTATACACACCCCATCAAGAGATCAAACCTGCTGATGCAAAATATCCATAATGAATAAAATACAAAAACTTTAAAGACAAGATTAGTTAACAGTAATTGGACCCATAGGAAAAAGAAATATCAGCAATGCCAATCCTGTATTGATTTAAAATTTCATATTCTCTCATCATGGATTTTTTCTGCATAATTTTTTAAATACTGTATTAAACATTATTTATTTTCAGTACAAAGTTTTCGGCATCCCGTTAAATTTTACACCCAAGGCCAGTGCCTTGCCTGCCCCACCCTCCCAGCAGCTGACACCCACCTCCTCTTCTGAGGACCACAGGGAGCCACCAGAGGCCCAGAGGGGCCACGCTGACCCGAGGGCACCCAGGGAGTCAGAGGCTGTAGACAGGCGTGGGGACCAGGAGCCCTGCCTCGCAGGAGGGAGAGTCCGTGCTCTTACCTGGCTCCCACCACAGCCAGGCCTAGGTCTCGGGCGGACTTGAGCAAGTGTCCACACAGCTCCAGGCTGGCCCCAAACTTGGCGCTCATGGGGATGAGGCTCTGGCTGTCCTCGGTCCACAGTCGAAGGACCAGCCTGGGAGGGGGTGTGAGGGTGACAGGCATTCTTAGACACATGAACCCCAGGCCTGAATGCTTTTCTGCCCCCACCCAAACTCCCTCCAGCCTCCCTCCACCTCTGCCTTGGTCCTCTGGACTGTCCAGCCATGGAGGTCCAGGGAGGGAACACAC